TTAAATCATAATATAAAAATGAGAAATGAAGATCCATTATACTATATGGATCTAGGAATACTGATGTTCAGATAATTGTCTCGAAAACATAAAAGCCTCATCACAAACCCCTAGAAGTGGCGTTCTTCCTCTCCCACCCACGCCACAGTTCAGTGTAAGGGGTTGCTCTGAGATCTTACTACTGTTTTATGGTGTTTAGTACATTCCACTTACCTACTCCCTAAATTACTCACTTGCACCAAACAAAAAGTAGGAAGTGTGAGAAAGATTAAAGCATTTGTTCATTGTTTTCAATGCTGAAGAAGATACTTCTCTTAGTTACCTCTTCATTGCTTTTTTTCCCCAAAATATTTTGGGAAGCTGCCTAATTAGATAGTGGGGCACACAAGGAGAAGTGTGGCTAGTGGGCAGCGCGGTTTCCACGGAGTAGATGGGCTTGGGAGGAGACCCAGAGGGCAACTCCCAGAAGCAGTGTGAGCGATTCATGCACAGCGGTCTCACTGATGACTGCAAACCCATGACTTCAGCGGGAACATGGGCGAATGCAATTATGAGGTGCACAAGTAACACATCACTCTAGAGCCTGAAGTGTTAGGTTACCTATTTTTACTGTCTCTGGTACATACACACACACGTACACACACATGTCCTGTTGCTTGGTGTACCTGTTTATTTGTTTTGTCTATGTTGGTTTGTATTAAATGTGATTACTCTCATCCATCCATCCATCCAACATGCATTTCATTCCACACATTAAAGTAAGAAATTGGCTGGGTGCAGTGGCTTATGTATGTAATCCTACCACTCTAGGAGGTGAAGGTGGGAGGGTAGCTTGAGCTCAGGAGTTCCAGACCAGCCTGAGCAAGAGTGAGACCCCATCTCTACCAAAAAGAAAGAAAGAAAAAGAACCCAGCTGGCTGTTGCTGCACACGCCTGCGGTCCCAGCTTCACGGGAGGCTGAGGCAGAAGAACCACTTAGAGCCCAGGAGTTGGAGGTTGCAGTGAGCTACAGGGATGCCGCAGCACTCTACCCAGGGCGACAGAGTGAGCCTCTGTCTTGAGGAAAAAACAAAACAAGGCAACTGAACACCCCTCCTCACAATCTCCCACCCCTTAAAATAAAGAAAAAAGGGGGGGAAGTAAAATAAGAAATAAAAAAGACCTTCAAGCAACTTATAGTCCAGTATCACCAAAACTTCATCTATAAATTTATAATCAATATTATTTTACTTCAAATAATTTCTTCAGGTATCCCTTGCTTACTGTTTTCTTTCAAAAACCAGAACACTTGTCTATAATGTCAAATAAGGTTGGCACTAAGGCACAATTAAATATTCAAAGTAAGTTCTGAGTTTTTATCTCATTTTGGTGTGCAGTATCAAAATATAATTAATCATACTGGAGAATATGCAAATTTGTAATTTTTGTTAAATATGGGTTTTTCAATCTCTCTAATTTATCCCTAGCTGCTTACAAAGGATTTGAGACAATTTACAATATTAAATTATGTATGTAGGCTGGGCACAGTGGCTCACGCCTGTAATCCTAGCACTCTGGGAGGCCGAGGCAGGCGGATCACTCGAGGTCAGGAGTTCGAAACCAGCCTGAGCCAGAGCGTGACCCCGTCTCTACTATAAATAGAAAGAAATTAATTGGTCAACTAATATATATAGAAAAAATAAGCCAGGCATCATGGTGCATGCCGGTAGTCCTCAAAGTGAGACTCTGTCTCAAAAAAAATAAAAAAATAAAATATGTATATGTACCAAGACTATAAAAAACAATTCAGGTGAAGCAAAAAAAAATTTTTTTTTACTGGATGTTACCAAATACCTGAATTGAATTAACTAACTGAGATGAATATCAAATTCAGCTTTGATATTCTTTTTTTTTTTTGAGACAGAGTCTCGCTTGTTGCCCAGGCTAGAGTGAGTGCCGTGGCGTCAGCCTAGCTCACAGCAACCTCAGCATCCGCCTGCCTCGGCCTCCCAGAGTGCTACCACCGCGCCAGGCCAGCTTTGATATTCTAACAATGGGAGCAAGCCGCATGCACGCCATTCAGAGCGTGCTTGTGAGAACTTCCTCTGTAGCCCAGCGTGTGGTCGCTGAGCTAACTAAAGTCCTGCTAAGGGCAGTTCCAGTCCTTTTCTTGATCCACTTGGAGCGGTTTTGAGGCCTCTCGGGATCAATTTATCGAGCAAGTCATTACACCAGTCAGTCGGATTGCCAAGCTATGGTCCCTTGAGCCAGATCTCCGTACTTGGTGGTCTCTGCCTACTACTTCTGCTATAGAGAGTCTATCAATGATTCAGCCTGACATAAAAGGGATTCAGTGTAATTCCTGTGCAGAATCAGCCCAAGTCTCTCTGAGGTTCAGGTTCTCGTCCTGCTATGAGGACTATGACCGCTGTCTAATTCCCTAGTGCACCCAAATGATTGCAGAGCTACTCGAGGCATGGTCTGCACACTGCTGTTGCTTCTCTAATTGTTGCCAACTGGAGAAGAGATAAAAAAAAGTTTACAGGTCAACTGTGTGACTGAAAACACGATGTAGCTTAGCTGACTTCTTTCTTTCTTTTCTTTTCATTTCTCTTTTTCCCTTACTGCAAGACTGTTGTGAAGGAAGCTGTATATTGAATTACACTCTGGTGTGAGCATCTTGTCTCATTGCAGATGGGCAATTTGGCTAAGGGCCAGTCGAGGTCAATGTGAACCAATGACTGTGATATGAATGTGAAGTGTGGTTAACATGTCTGTAGATAAAAATAACTGTACAAAACTTAATTAAATCTGGCTTGATATGAGTGAGATCAGGAATATGGAATCCCACACCACCAAGTGTCCCCTGCCCCAGACACAAGAGATTAATTACTCTTTTCCTCTTTCTTGGACGTCAGTATGTTGAGCCCACACCCTTACAAATGGGCTGCTAGCCGATGGTGCTCAGATTCCCAGGGCAGCAGCCGGGCCTCCATGCTAAGCGGACTCCCCACACCTCCCCCTTCACAGTGCGCAGCAGCACCTGTGGAGCATGCGCACTGTGCAGCCGTCGCAAACTTGCTGAGTCGGTAAGACAGACGCTCATAGACAGACACAGCAAGTTACACGAAGTGAGTTTATTATTCAGACAGGCAACAAGGGACAAGCTCAGGCTCCACTGTGGGCCAGTCCTGCAAGGCTCAGGAGCTCTGCTTGAGGTGGCTGGAGTCTTGTCTTCATGTGACCCACTTGCACCACAGCTGAGGGACCCCAGAAAGCAGCCTGTCCCATGTTTAACGCCCACGGATGATGTGACTCGCTGGGCTAAGCACTGAAAAAACATCCTGTGTCTAGACAGGGCATGTCACAGAGCCGGGCTGGGCCAGGCAGGTCCCTCTTCCCTCAAGATTTTGCATTCCCAGCTCACTCTGCAGTTATTCTTCAGAACTAAAAGAGAGGCCGGGCACGGTGGCTCACGCCTGTAATCCTAGCACTCTGGGAGGCCAAGGCGGGCAGATTGCTCAAGGTCAGGAGTTCAAAACCAGCCTGAGCAAGAGCGAGACCCTGTCTCTACTATAAATAGAAAGAAATTAATTGGCCAACTAATATATAGGAAAAATTAGCCGGGCATGATGGCGCATGCCTGTAGTCCCAGCTACTCGGGAGGCTGAGGCAGCAGGATCGCTTGAGCTCAGGAGTTTGAGGTTGCTGCGAGCTAGGCTGATGCCACGGCACTCACTCTAGCCTGGACAACAAAGTGAGAACCTGTCTCAAAGAAAAAAAAAAGAACTAAAAGAGAGAACAAAGGGGAAGCCGAGGTCAATCCAGGACCACCTGGGGAAACGTACTGCAGCACCTAGCACGGACCTCTCAGGGAACTGCTGGCTGACCAGGGAGGGGTGCGGTTCCATTTCTGATGAGAACATAAGCCCCTTGGTGTTGTCCTCAACATTTCCAAGTGGTTCCACCATGCTGTTGCTCTAGGTGAGCCACTGGCCATCCAGAGGGGGCCAGCAGTAGTCTGCAAAGGTCCAAACCCCAAGTCTTAATTATTGTAGCCTCCCCAAAACAGGGAGACATTACTCACTAGCGTAGGTGAAAAATAGATATGTCTATAACAGAATAAGGAAAAAACTGCATTTTTGGCTGGAAAAACATTTTGTGGAATCAGAAAGGATCAATAAGTTACACTCCCAGATTGTCACTGATAAAGCATGCTGCTATTTTAAGGGTAATATTGCAGCCCCAAGTTATGGGGCTTGACAGTAATGACAACATTCACCCCACTTCTTCTGGGAAGCTTCAGATGCACATCTCTGATTAAGTATGTAACGAGAGTGAAAATGAGAATAACAGTAAGAATAATTGCACAGTAACTTGCCATTAGTTTGAGAATCATGCACAAATAACCAGCAGTATTTGCGTAGTGTCAGCATGCCTTGTTTTTTTTTTTTTTTTTTTTTTTTGAGACAGAGTCTCACTTTGTTGTCCAGGCTAGAGTGAGTGCCGTGGCGTCAGCCTAGCTCACAGCAACCTCAAACTCCTGGGCTCGAGTGATCCTTCTGCCTCAGCCTCCCGAGTAGCTGGGACTACAGGCATGTGCCACTATGCCCGGCTAATTTTTTTATATATATATATATCAGTTGGCCAATTAATTTCTTTCTGTTTATAGTAGAGACGGGGTCTCGCTCTTGCTCAGGCTGGTTTTGAACTCCTGACCTTGAGCAATCCGCCCGCCTCGGCCTCCCAAGAGCTAGGATTACAGGCGTGAGCCACAGCGCCCGGCCAGCATGCCTTGTTTGTTCATTGATTTATTTATTTACAGGATATCTGTTAGATGCCTAGGACCAGGCTAAGATCTAAATGTTGCTGAGTAATATTGTTGGCATGAAAGAAAGACAAAACTAAGTAGGAATCAGTAAGTGGCATGTATATTCCTTATCAAATCAATGCCATGTTACTCTTACTATACAAAAATGGAAAGGAACATTGAATTGTATTCATGCTTATCCTATTACCAGGTGAGAATCCTGAATTCTCCGGCTTAGAAAGGATTTTAGCAAGACATCAGTTTCCAAAAGAGATTAACCTGACCCCAAAGCCGAGCAGAGTGCCCTCATGGAAAAGAAAAGTCGTCGACAATGTAAGTGACGGGTGGAAGAAATGCAACTTGTGGAAGAGAAACATTGGAGGGACAAAAGACCCTCCAATGTCCACCATAGTTGTCAGGTAGGCTCTCTCTAATTTCTGCCCTAGCCGGACATATTTAGAGACACACAGGGTGATCATAAAATCTCTTTATGACTTAGCTAAAAAATAATTTAATGTGATCTTTAAGATACACAGTGAGCATGAAAACAAACATCGTGTGAGAGCGCTGGGCCCATTCTCACACGTCCCACAGCTGCTGGGGGCGCCCTCATGAGAATAAACTCACGCAGACGGGAGCAGGTGTGTGAGTCCCCGTGGTCCACTGCAGTCTAGACTAGCGAGCAGAAATCTAGTGAGGCTGGAGTGCGATTCTTTGAGAAGGACCCAGCCACTGAGCTGTGGGACTTTATGGTTGCATGAGTTGGGAAGCCCAGTGCCACCATGAGCATGACCAGGGGCTAGGATACAATAAAATGGCACGGCAGAACCTTGGCTTTGCCCCTAGTCTGCCAGATTGTACACTGAAAGATATGGAAGCCATTGTAGGCTTTTAACAAGAGAGGTGACACAAGCTGACTGGAATCCTCTCTGGCCTGCTTGTACAGTTATGCAGGTGAGGGGTGGTGGCCTCAGACCAGGTGGTAACAGTGGGGATGTGGAATTGGTTGGATTCTGGTTCTCAAAGTATAAGCTCTGCTTACTTGGTGTATTATCTTTTTTGGTGCACTTCCTTCCCTGCTTGTGCCAGATAGGCCTATATTTGTTTCTTTGGTATTGCTGCTCGTATTGCTGTGCGATGCAGTGATGCCTACACTTTGCACATAGTAGGTGTTAGGATGGAAAACTCGGTAGGTGCTCACAGCGCGGGTGGAGAAAGATTTCTCACGCAGAGAATAGGATATATAAATGTAAAAAAGTTAATTTTATCCTTTTAGAAGAAGAGAGAATGAGGGAGGAAAGAGAGGGAGAGCAGTGGCATCCTGTGACATCCCAAAGAAAGAGAGAGGGTACCAGCCCTGAGGCCAAGGGGATTGCTGATTTTAAGGCAGACAAAGAGAAAAAAAATAGTGGTGGTGTCAGTTGATAACAAAAGCGGCTGCAGGATGTCAAAGTCCAAGAGTTGCTTTCCCTGCCTTTACTTGGAGGAGGGATTATCACAGATGTCACTCTGTCCCCAACATGTGGTTGAGGGTATAGTTCATTTTCCTGCTGTTTACTCAGGAACTCTGTAAAAGCAGATCCTAAAAAAAATAATTTTAAAGAGAAATATTTACATCTCTTTTCCATATGTTCAGCTCTTTTCAGAAGTTGTGCAAAACAGAACTCCCACGGGGTAACTGTAGGATTGATCTTTAACTGCTACTAGGAAATTGTAGGATTAGATATTTTCCAGTATTTTTGCAAGGCTGCCCCTTTCAGTAAGTATTCAAAAGCTGCCATTGCCAGGTGGGCAGGAGAAAAGTATACCTGGCTCTAAAGACAAAGTAATTTCTGATTTGAAGGTTAACAGATACAGGGAGAAAGCTCCAGATCATGAATTTGCCTGTCCTGGAAGCTTCCACTGAGATCATTGCCCTAGTGAAATAGTGTCCTTGTCTACTTTTGCTCTTCAGTGTCCCCAGTGGCACAACTTGTCGATTTGATTTAAAAATCCACAGCCAAAGAAGGTAAAGATATGTTATAAAACAAGGTGGTCACTAGAACCATGATGTTTTCTAGACAATGCAAAGGCACTAAATTTTTGTCCAGAGAAGGGTAAAAGTTATATTAAGTGATGGTTCCTGATTACTCAAGTTAAGACTATTTGACCATGCTTTGAAGCAAGCCTATTAAAAGAAACACAACCATAGGTTTATATACCTCAATTTCAGGTGATGATGTCTTCACATGTCTTTATATCCTACTTTGGTTTTTGAAAATATAGCTAGAGCATCAGAACATAAGAAATTACACTTTTTTGGAACATTTCTTTCTATGAGCATCCATTTGATTTCCTTAAGAAGCAGGGACTGCCTTATTTATTTTTATATTCCAAGTGTTGCAGGTTGGGGTCTTGGTAAGCAAGTACCGAGACAGAAATAAAAGTGTAAACGTTTCCCTGGGGGTGGTATAGCATGTGGCCCAGAGGAAGCCCTACCACGCAGGAATTCAAGAGGCGGGACAGCAGGCTCCACCCCAGCGGGGGGAGCAGCAGGCCACGTTGCAGGGGCCCGTAGATATGGCAGGTTGGAGGATGGGGCCATTTTTCAGTCAATCATGAGCTTTTCTTGGTTGCTGTGATTCCAGATTCCAGAAGGAGCTGCTGAATTTACTGGGCTAGTTCTGATGATGTCTCCTGGCATCACTGATTCCTGTCCTATCACTTGGTAACATGGTGAATATAGTCACTTGGTAACTGTCATTCTTCATCCTTTGTGACTTAACTGGCACCCTTGAGAGAATCCATTCCTTAGCCAAGGCAAGCCTGGTTATTACTGAGGAAATTATCAATAATAGCTCTGTCCTTAAAATTAGGAGTGCCACATGATGCAGCAATGTCACTACTGCACCCCCACGTTCATTGCAGCACTATCCACAATAGTCAACATATGAAATCGGCCTAGTGTCCATCGAAAGATGACTGAATAAAGGAAATGTGGTATACAGATGCAATGGAATACTTTTCATCCATAAAAAAGAGTGAAATCCTGTCATTTGAGGCAACATGGATGAGCCTGAAGGACATTATGTTTAGTGAAATAAGCCACACACAAAAAGGTACTCTTTCGTGAAAGTTAAAAATGTTGATCTCATGGAACTAGAGAGTAGACTAGTGGTTCCTATGGGCTTGGAAGGGCAGAGGGTAGGGGTGGATAGCCAGAGGTTGCTTAGCTTAACAGGTACAAAAGTACAGCTAGACAGGAGGAATAAGTTCTAGTGTTAGATAGCACTGTCGGGTGACTACAGTCAACAATAAATTAATGCATATTTTCAAATAACTATGAGTTTTGAATGTTCCCAACACAAGGGAATGACAACTGTTTGAGGTAATGGATATGCTAATTACTTTGATTTGATCATTACATTGTGTACACACATAGAAAAAAATCACACTGTACCCCATAAATACATACAATTATTATGTGTCAATTTTTAAAAAAGAACAGCATAGTCTTTGTCTCTAAGATGTACAGACAACACTGCCGAATTGTGCTGCTGGGCCCCTGTCAAACGGGACTGCCAATACCTCATGCTGTGTCAGGTAGACTCATGACGCTGATGAAAAGATGACTGTGAAACTGAGGTTTGACAAGCATAAAGTGTATTCAAATGCATCGCACAGTATTTTCACATGCAGGATTGAGCCCCTGCATGTACTGACCCTGAACTTGCACGGCAAACACCGCTTGGTTTGTGCGGTGTGTCCCGCGAGCACGGACAGCGGAGGCCTCGCGCGCACAGCAGTAACCGTTTTAGGGCCACAAAACAGGCAGCTCATACCTGATGCCTGCTGGCTTTGAAAAACTTCCTTGGATGCTGTGCTGTGTAAATAAATCAGCAGGCATAAACCCAGGGGTCCTGGGCCCACACTGGGGAGCAGACTTTCGGAGTCTAGAGCTGCAGATGGTGGTGTCTTGTCCCTGTGGAGAACTTGGCAGGATTCCAACCCCCAGTTTTATCATACTGTGAATCCCTGCTGGATACTGCATGTAAATTATAATTACTTGTAAATTGTATTTATTGGCTCAATATGTCATATTCATATGGGCTTAACTTTTTTTTTCCCTGTGAAAACTGTGACAAAAACAGGACTTCAACAGGAGAGGGCTATAACACACAAGAACTTGGGTTGAGATTCCAAAATGTTTTTATTGCGCCAGTGTGGTAGCAACTGAAGACAGGGGCTGGTGGCCAGTAGATTTTATTCTGCCCTCCTTTGTGCCATAGACATTTGCACTTAAGCCTGACTTGGGGCCAGCCTCCAAGAGGCAACCACCCCTTCTCTATACAGCCATTCATCTAGATTATACCACCCCACTGTGGTGTAAGTACGTGTTGGCTTGCTACCCCGATCCAAGATCTCCATGTAGACACTGGGTAGGTATACAAGAAAACATTTAATATTTTCTACTGAAAACTCATACCACAAGATAAATGAAAAACATAATGGATTAAATGTAGCCAAATGCAAGGCTCCCGTGTCTTTTTTCTCCTGTTTTGTTACTTGTTCCTTCAACCTACACAGGACTCATTGGCCCTGAGAGCTGTAAAAGCTCTGGGCACAGCCCTCTGGTGCTTGTGAGATGACCAGGAGAGGCGGACGCCTCCCCAAGGGCATATAGCTAACACTGCCGGAGCAAGGGCCAGACTACCCTTGAATGTGTTAAGTTTCTTGTCTACTCTGATTCACCAACACTGATTTATTCATCAAGGTCCCCGGTGTGTCTGCAGGCTAAGCGACCCTCACTGAGGGACATGGCACGTGACCATCAATTTTATGTGTTATCTTGGCTAGGCCTCTGTACCCTGTTATTTGGTCAAATACCAGTAAAGATATCACTACAGTGTTTTTCAGATGAGATTAACATTTACATCAGCAGACTTTGAGTAAAGCAGATTACCCTCCATAACATGCATGGGCCTCATCCAATCAGTTGAAGGTTTTAAGAAAAAACTGAGGTCCCTGACGTGGAAGGAATTCTGCCTCCATTTGGCCTTTGGACCCAAGACTGCAACATTGGTTCCTGCTGGAAGTTCCAGCCCATCAGCCAGCCCTGCACATATCAAGACCTGTCAGCAACAACAATTTCATGAGCCAATTCCTTAAAATCGTTCTTTCTCCATATAGATACAGGGATATAGGAATAGGTATGGATCCACTGATAACACTGCTGATTCATGCCCTTGTTTTCTATAGTCTACTGGCTCTGTTTCTCTGGAGAACCCTAACACAGTCCATAAATTTGGCATTTGTGTAGTTCCAAAGGGCCTAACTTTATTTATTTCTTTATTTATTTATTTATTTATTTATTTATTTTTGCATGGTCTAAGAAAAATAGGCTCATATGGGAAGACTAGTCTCTGGGAGACTGGTGATT